TTTCTGAGAATAACCATCTTGGACTGGAGAGATAGCTCAGCGGTTAAGAACACTGGTTGTTCTTGCCAAAGACTCAGGTTTGAATCCCAGGACCCACATGGCAGCTAACAACTGTCCATAACTCCAGTTCCAGGGGATCCAACAGTCTCTTTTGTCCTCTTCAGGCATTGCACAATACAGGTGCCCTTACCTACATGCAGACAATACACGCATACACATAAAACTAAAAATAATAAATAAAATATTTTAAAAAAGAAAATAACCATCTTAACAGATGTGAGATGATAATTCATTATAATGTTAATTTGTATTTCTCTGTTGATTTATGATGTCAAGCACCTTTTCATATGCCTGTGAGTTTTTTTTTTATGTGTATGAGTATTGTCTGCAAGTATGTGAGTGCACCCATGTCATGCAATGCCGCAGAGGTCAGAAGAGGGCTTCGAATTCCCCTGAAACTGGAGTTAACGATGGTTCGTAGCTGCCATGTGGACGCTGGGAATTGAACCAGGGTCCTCTGCAAGAGCAGTCAGTGCTCTTAACCATTGATCCATCTCTCCAGCCCTGCCTGTGGGTTATTTGTGTGCCTTATATGTTTTGGGTATTAGCCTTTTTCAAATACATGGTTTACAATTATTCCTTAATTCTCTGTTGCCTTTTTACATTGTTTCCTTTGTTGTACAAAGGCTTTCAGTTGCAATAGTCACATTTGCTCATTTTTGCCATTTTTGCCTTTGCTTTTGGAGTCATATAAAGAAAACTCATTTCCAAGACTAATGTCAAGGCTCAGTTCCCCTATGTTTTCTTGTCAAAGCCTCAGGTTTTTTCTTTTTTCTTTTCTTTTCTTTTTTTTTTTTTCGGTCTTTTTGAGACAGGGTCTCCCTGTAGCCCCAGCTGCCCTGGAACTCACTATGTAGACCAGGCTGGCCTTGAACTCACAGAGATCTGCCCTGCTTCCCGAGTGCTGGGATTAAAGGCGTGTGCCAGCACACCCAGCTCAGGTTTTATATTTAATTCTTTAACATATTTCAAGTTGATGTTGGTGCCATTTTCAGATTAGCTGGCTATATATGTGTGGATATATTTCTAGACTTTCTGTTACATTGTTCTGTGTACCTGTTTTGTGCTATTATCTTACTATTTTAATTATTTCAGGTTTGTAATATAATTTGAAAGCAGAAAGTCTGATGCCTCCAAGTTAGTTCTTTCTCAAACTACTCAGAATCTTTAGTGGTCCCATAGAAATGTTAGGATTTTCTATTTTGGGGACAAATATCATTAGAATTTTGAAAGCAATTTCATTGGATCTGTGTATCATTTTTGGTAGTATGAACAGTTTCACAATACTAATTCTTCCATCTCATAAGGGTGAGACACCATTTATTTGTGTCTTCAATTTCTTTCATCAATGCCATAGCAATATACTAATCTCTCACATTCATGGTTAAATTTATTTCTAAGAATTGTGTTGTTGTGATACTATTGCTGTTTATTTATTTAATGTATGCACATGATATATGTGTATTTGTGTGTGCCACAGTGCACATGCTGAGGTCAGAGGACAATTCCACGGAGCTGATTCCTGGGTCATCAGGCTTTCACAGCAAGCTCTTTTACCCACTGAACCATCTCATTGGCCTGCTGTTCTCATTCTAAGTACTATTTTAATGTCCTCCCTTTATCAAATTTCCGCTCCTTCCTCTACCTCCTTCACCTAGAAATACGATTGTTAAGTCTCCTGGACTAATATTCTGTGGCCATTTAAAATGCAGAAGTCGAGGCTGGAGAGACAGCTCAGGTAGTTCGATTCCCAGAACCCACATGGTGGCTAACAACCATCCAGGGGAATCCAACAACCTCTTCTGACCTCCACAGGCATTGCACAACACTGGTGCACTTACACATATACATGCAGGCAATACAGTCATACACATAAAATAAAAATAATAAACAAAATATTAAAATAAGTAAATAAAATGTAAAAGTCAAAGTTAAAGTAATAAATCTTTTTGGACTACAACTGTGGGAGAATAGCTTATTGTATTTAATGCAGGTGATGTGAGAAAGTTCAGCTGGTTCACTATACCCCTCCCAACATCCCCTCATGGCAGTTATAGATCTCTGCCCTGGCTTCCACTTTTAACTGATCCTTCAAGGCCACAGCTAACAGCTCTCCTAGAAAGGAGAGACTGAAATAGGTACCCTCACCTCTGTCAGCTGGAGATGAGTTGAAGATATGTCAGTCAGGTGGCAGAAATGTTGGTTGGTGATAGCCTCCCATGGAACAGCTTGCAAAGAAACTCCAATCCTGCCAGTCTCTGAGATTTTTTAAGAAGAAGCACTGACTAAAGGGTAAAGTTTACCTTTCCCCCACTATATTCCTGGTCCACTGTGAAGTTTGGGGCTCTCACTAAGAGTTGAGTTACTGTGGGCAAGTGGCTTACATGTATTCCCAATTTTCTTATCCAAGAAGCAGGTACTACCACTCAGTGCAATAGTGTAGATTGAACCAGATAAAACGTAGAGGGGAAGAAGATGTCAGCCAAATGTTAGTGTCTTTCTCTATCTTGGTCCCAATGGTAGTGCCCACTATTGTAAAAATTAATAGCTGTATGTGATACTCTCTAACTTCTACTCTACCTCCTTGACTAATCCCTGTTTTGTTCCATGTTTTCCAGACTTAAGTAATTAAGAGAATAGGGAAAGAAGGTCAAGGTGTATCTGGAGCAGGAAGGGGTCAATATATTCAGGATGAGTGGAAGGGCCATGGGAATTGAATGGCTCTGTTCAATCACTAGCTTCGGTAGTATGTGTACACCCATGGCAAGTCCTAGGATGAAGACCCTGGAAGAAAAGAGACAACACTCAAAGTGACTCTAACTTAAGCCTCAGGTAGAGGTTTGCTGTTCCCCTCTTCCTGTGTCTTTCCCCTCTAAAGACTCAAGGCCTGGGGCTGGAGAGATGGCTCAGTGGTTAAGAGCACTGGCTGCTCTCGTAAAGGACCCAGGTTTGATGTCCAGCTCCCACATGGTGGCTAACAACCATTTGAAACTCCATTTCCAGGGAAATTCAACACCCTCTTCTAACCTCTGTGGGCACTGAGCACTGCACAACATGGATGCATTTACATACACACAGGCAATACACTCACGCACGTAAAATAAAAATAATAAATAAAATTTTTTTTTAAAAAGACTCAAGGCCTGGGACTGGAGAGATGGTTCGGCAGTTAAGAGCATTGGCTGCTCTTGCAGGTTCAGCTCTTAGAATTCACATGGTGTAACTCCAGTTCCAAGGAATCTAATGCTGTCTTCTGACCTCCACAGGTATTACAGGACACAGGTGCACTTACATACATGCAGGCAATACACTCATACACACAGAATAAAAATAATAAGTGAAATATTTTTTAATAAAGACTCAAGGCCCCAGCTGGGTCTATAAGTGTGGAAACAGACAACCACAGTTGGACAAAGAAAGGACACTGGTGGTGTAGCTCTACAACACCTACAATAATGTGCCTTGCAAACCTTCAACTTCAGGGAACATAACCAATCCAAGGTTTTGGCACTGACACTTCGACATCTAGCCCAGCATTTGTGCTGAAGTCACATTTGCTGCATACCAGAGACACTAAAGTAGGCCTGTTCCTAGGAGACACACAACCCTGCTGGCTTCTGGCTGACCTTGGCTTCATGAAACCTTGATGGTCTTGCCAAATCTTCCTTGGAGTATAGGAGAGGCTTGGATAATTCCACTCAGTCTTCCCTCCCTCTTTCCTTTACTCACAGGCTTTACATCATGGTCTCATGGCCTTCCTGGCCTTCCCAGACTTCTATTCTAACTGGTCTCATTTCCCTTAATAAATTATAATTTAAAATTCCATTTTATTTTATTATTTGCTTCTCTGAAGTCTCAGATTACTACAAACTCTGATCAAGCTGAAATTAAGTGTATTGGCTAGAGTTTGGGTTCTGTGCAATGGGAGGCTTTGGGCCAACTTATAAAGCAAGTAGGTCTCTAAACAATTGATAAGTAGCACCAAGGTTTACAGAGTGTACTGGATAGCTTTAGTTGTCAACTTGGGTAGAGGGAGCCTCAACTGATGAATTGTCTCCATTGGACTGGCCTGTGTCCATGTCTGTGGGACTTTTCTTGATTGTTGACTGATATGGGAAGGCCCAGCTCATTGTGGGCAGTGTCACCCTTGGGAAGGTGGACCTGTATTGTATTAGAAGGCAGGCTGAACACAGGCCAAAGGAGCAAGCCAGTAAGCAGTGTTCTTCTATGGCCTGTGCTTCAGCTCTTGCCTCCATGTTCCTGCTCTGAGTTCCTACCTTGGGCTCCCTCAGTGATGAACCCGGGAGATATAAGCCTAACAAAACCCTTTCCTCCCCAAGTTGGTATTGGTCCGAGTGTTTTGTCACACCAGTACAGAAGCTAACTAAGACAGAGAGACTTTATGTGACCCAAATGCGTTGCTCTGCTTTACTCCAAACCATCCAGATCATTATCTCAGACAAGCAAGTTTATTTTTAAAAAAACAATTCACTGTCTCAAATAAGCGTATTTTAAAATGCTGCAACTCAGTGTCTTGTGCTCCTTTTTATGGAAGATTTTTCTTTCCTTTTTCTTCGTTTTTTTTTTCATATAGTAACAGATTTGTTATAAACTTGATTTCACATACAATGTTTTAATGGCACTTGCACTTAGTACTTATCCATTAAAATTTTTAATATGACATTATACAGATACCTTATCCAAAATTTCCAAAGGCATATAACAGGTAACATATGTCACTATTCATCTTGGGATAGACAGAACAACAGTATTTACTGAAACTGAGTCCCAGACAAGTATGCACCACCTGCTTCTGTATCTTAGGGAACAAAAGAAGCTTTAACACAAGTATCATTGATCCAGTGACTCATAGGTAGTTGGTCCTTATTCTAACAGCTAAAATTAAGTTCGTATTTTGTACTTTGTAAGGAAACTGATGGCTATTGTCCTTTTGTTACTTGAGAGCTGTCACTCAAGGTAGTTACATCATCTCCATTCATTCCAAAAGGCACCAGAGTCGAGTTTAAGTATCTTCACAAAGCAAACTACCTGGAATTTATGGGTGATATCTAATGCTAGTCTGTGATCTCAGATAATGAGAAAGCATCATTTCCTTGCAATATAAATTTGATCCCACAGGAAACAACAGGATAAAAAAACTCATTGTTGAAGGTCAGCATCCTGGTGACAGAACAGTTATTTCCTGAGTGTATGTCACCAATTCTAACTTCTGTGTGATTATCAAAAGATCTTTTATTCTCATTGTCACCCAATCATCAGAACACATTGGAGCCTCTGCTGGTTCAAGTCCAGAAGAATTCCAAAACAACAGAAGAAGGAGGAAAACTCCATCTGAGAACACAGTAAGCATTATGCCAAACTTTAAGACACAGGAGCCACAGGGAACAGGAAATGACCCTTATTTCTTATTTGGAGGCAAGGTTTCATTGTGTAGCTCAGGCTGGCCTGGAATTCACAATCCTCCTATCTGAGCCTCTTGAGTACTGGAGCTACAGGCATAGACTGCCATACCTGGCAAAAATCTTCCTTTAATTTCACTATAGTATTACAGTATTGCCTAAGAAAAACTCATTTCCTGTTTTCCATTTTGGACTGGGATTCAGAGAAATCTAGCTCCAGTTTTGCCACTAAGAAACCCTGTCACCTTGGACAAATGCTTACACTATCTACTACACTATCTATGACTTTTCCTTTCTGAGCCACAGGTTTTGTTGTTGTTGTTGTTGTTGTTTGTTTGTGTGTGTGTTTGTATACAACTTTTGTGTTACCTCAGTTCTGTTCTTCAAAACTTGTAGGGTTCAAGGGTACATAAAAGACAGTGGTGTGTAGGGGAGGGAGGGAGGGAAAGCAAGTGGAGAGGAAGAGGGAAAAGAAGAGAGGAGAGGAGAGAACAGAAGAAAAGTACAGAAAAGAAAGAACAGAAGGGAACAGAAAAGAAGTGAAAGGAGAGGAGAGGAGAGGAGAGGAGTGGAGAGGAGAGGAGAGGAGAGAATGAGGAAGAGAAGAGGAACAGGGCACTTGAAAGACACCCTGTGTAGCCTGCCTCCAGTTTTGCTCGGCGGTTCCCTCACACGCAGTGCTAGGCAACACACATGGTGACCTACTTTTGCAAGAAGTCTCTTTCTGGAGTTAGTCTTCTTTACCTTGCTCCTTTGACCACAATGGCTCTGCTACTAAATAGCAGTTCCAGATATAGGGAACAAAGGACTTGTGGCTCTTGGATTTCTCTTTGTGTATGAATCTGAGACTTTTTGGGGGGGTGGTCTGTTTCTACCTCCCAAATGTTAACATTTCGCTTAGAGATTTTCATTCTGGTTTGATATTCTTATCCCAGTAATGTCGCACCCTTACTGAGCCTTCTGCAGATCTGTGAACAATGGGCTCCTCCAGAAGGGAAGCAGGAAGGTCCATAGGTCTTGAGGACCATGACCAAAGAGAAACAGGACTGAGCAGGGACCACAGCGTAGTTGTGCTTAGAATTAGTGAATGGCCAGAGTTCCTGAGCAGTTCAAAACACCTGTGAAGAAACTGAAGCAAAGCTCCATTCAGAATAAAAGCCCTTCAGAAACACCACCTGTAGGCTAAACAAAGGTATCTGGCCTAGGACACCCAGAATATTTGGGCCACCAGTTTCTGCTTGTCTTGTGAGGCTTCCAGTGATGGTACAGCAGTATACACATCTCAGAACTGCTGCCAGTAGCCCGAGGAGTTTCCTCCCCCTTTACAGACCTCCTCACAGATAAAATAGGATCCTTAGTTTCGCCACAAAAATATTTCAGAACAGGATGTATGAAGCCTAGTTGGAGTTTATCAATTGACATTTTAATATAGATTTTAAGCACTGGAGTTAATAGAAAGAGAGACACCGAGGCAAAGAATAACATACACCCAAGTGTGGATAGGGTTTCTCAAAGGAAAATCAAAACTGTCTTTATAGTAGCCATATATACTGATTTTGATGATTTCTGAAGTTACATCTCAAAGGGTTGTCAAGGAAGCGTTTCTGTTTTGGCAAATGAGATCAAACAGTAGTCCTGATGTGCACTGGCTAGTATTACACTTGATAAATAAACCCTAGATCACATGGGTTATAGGGAAAGTTAAGGTGTTTTTACACCTTAAACATTTTTGTTTACCTTATAAGCAAAGGTTTAGTCTTGTTTCTGAAATCCCAGAAAATATCTGGGAAGTGTAAGACTGTACTAGAATATTATATAAACTTAGGCCTTAAGCATTATTCATTGCTAATTTAGCATAAAACACATCTCTCTATAAAAGGAATATTAGCTCTGTGTCAGCAACTTTCACAAAAAAATGTTAATTTGCTGAAATTCTCTGTGTGTATATGGTGTATGTACATATTTGTGTATGTGCATGTATACATGTGTGCATGTCTTTCTGTGCATTTGTATAGAGGCCATAGGTCTACCCCAGTTGTCTTTCTCTAGCATTCTTCACCGTATTTTTTAAAACAGGCTCTCTCACTGGCCTGGAGCATGCCAATTCAGCTAGATGGGCTGATCAGAGATTCTCCAGTATCTATCTGTCTCCATCTCTGCAGTACTGGTATTATAGATATGCTGCTGCTTGCTGGAGATTAAACTTAGGTCATCATGCTTGCATGACAAGCACTTACCCACTGAGCCCTGTCTCCAGGCCCTGCGCTAAAATTCTTGATTCTTAGCTGACAAGAGCCTTCAACCAGATTCCTTTCCCCTTCCCATGTTCCCTCAATCTTCCCCCATCTTTCTATCCTTCCTTAAGACCAGGTGGAGGTCCCTTCACCTCTTTGTGGCACAGTTTCCCCATCTATAAAATGTAAGAGTTAAATTCCATTATCTTTTAGGATAAAAGGAAGATAGTAGCTATCCTGGGAAAGAAGATGTCTATATATCTGTAGAGATTATTTAAAATTTGGCATGGCCACTGCAGAGGAGTGTGTGGGTGGGGAATAGGTAAATGAAAGAGAATTCAGTGTAGGTTCCAATAGGTTGAGAGGCATCCCATCATATCAGTGCATTCCTACTTTTCTCTGATTTATACTGAGAACTTCAGAGTAAAATTGCAACCAGAAAGGAAAGGAGGGTTTTATGAATTTGAAAAGGTTGTAACTTTCTAAATTCTAGCTGCAAAGGATTCTGGAAAGGTAAGCATTTCATTTTCATAGCTTCAGTACTGGTGTTAGAATTGCAAATACATATCAAGCTAGTTCAGCATCACTATATTAGTTACTTTTCTGTTGCTATGATAAAACACCCATAACCAAGGCAACTTATGATTTGAGCTTATGGTTGCAGGGGATTAGAGTTCATAATGGTGGGGGAGGCATGGTGGCAGAGGTGGCCAGAGCCGGAAGCTGAGTGATCACATCTTCAAGCAGGTGTGGGAAGCAGAGAACGACTGGAAATCTGGCAAGGCTTAAGTTAAGAACTCTCAAAGCCCTCCCCCCAGTGACATGCTTCCTCCAGCAAGGCCACACCTCCTAAAACAGCACCACCACCCGGGACAAAATGTCCAAATACTTGGGGCTTATGGGGGACATTCTCATTCATACCACCACAATCATCTATTATATTTTTGCTCTAAATCTAATTATACTAAGGCATAATTGATGTACAATGAACAATATATTGTATTTCTGAAATTTGATAAATTTTGAATAAATTCACCCGTTAAATCAATGCAATGATTTAGACAAATGTGCATGTCTATCACCCCAGAAGTTTCCTCATGCTCTTTCGCAATCTATAGGTCCTCCCTTTGACTACCATCCCAAAGTAACCACTGATCTGCTTTCTGTCATTATAGATTAGTTGTAATTTTTTAGAATTTTATATAAATAGAATTATATGGTATGTACTCTTTTGTCTGGAGCATCTTAAACTTGACATATTTATTTTGAGATTGAGAATAATGTGTGTAGCAACATTTTGTTGGCTTTTCGTGTTTGTTTGATTTGATTTTTAGAGACAGGATGCTGCTATGTAGGCTATGCTGCTCTAGAACTCACAATCTTCCTGCCTCCGGCTCTCAAATGCTAGAAGTACAGATGTATGCCACTATGCCCAGCTCTCGGTTTGCTTATTTTTATTGCTGAGTAGTATTCCATTATGTGGCTATACCACCATTCATTTTATATATTTACTTACCTGTAGATAGATATTTATTTCCAGTTTGGGGCATTAAAAGTTGAGTTATTTGGAACATTCATGTGTAGGTCATTTACCAGTACTTCTTATTTCAGTGAATGACTTCTATTTTCAAAATGTTTTTTAGCAGAAACTGACTTGGCAATGCTAAATTGGTGTTTCTCTTTTGTACTCAAGGCTATTTTGGGCAGTTCTGTTGTTGTTGATGTTTTATTTCCTTTGATTTTGTTATACTTTGTTGTGCCTCCCTGAACATTGTGAATGGGTTTCTAAAAACCCATGTAGGAAGAACTTCAGTTGAAAAACTTAAGACTATGTATAAAGAGTTATCTCAGGGGAAAATGAGAAACAAATATCTTTTACATTTCCTTAAACAAGTCAGTAAACATAACATCAAATAAAGAAGATCTTAATTTCTTTCTTTTTAAGAACAGGGTTTTGTGGGGGGTTTTTGTTTGTTTTGTATTTTGGGTCAAATGTATGTACAGGAAGTTCAGTGGTAGAGATTTAACTCAGTTTGGTAACAAGTTCTTTGGATTTTGCCTTTTCCAGTTTGGCAATGTGAGCCACAGATCTCATTGTATCTGGTGCTGTAATTGGTCCTGATAGCCTCTGCCAGCTTAGCCAGAGCAACTTTGTCTTCAGATTTAACCTGTCTGACTGTACATATCTTCCTGTGGACCAAATGCCCCAACCTGGCCTTCCACTTGATGATGCAGTCAAGGACCAGAACTGGCAGGAAGACATCAACTCTATGGGGTCTACATCATGTGCGATCACCACCCACGGAGCTTTCTTGCTCTCCACCACACTACTGACCCCTGCTCAAAGGACAAGTGATCTCTTAGTGGGAACATCCCCTTTGTCAGCAGCTTTGTTCTCAGCCTGGGCCAACAGCCTCTGCTGCTTCTCTTGCTTTGTCTCTGGCCTGTAGTTGTGGGTGAACTTAAGCAGCTTGGTAACTATTTGAGAGTCTAGGGCCTGGGTGAGCCCATTAATGACAGGAGGTGCTTTCAGCCACCTACAGAGGAGGTTCTTTGCCACTGTGGCAGCATTTAGTGGAGGCATTTCACAAAGCAGGTGAGGTTCTTTGGGGTCTGGATGTCTTGTCCAATGCCTAAATTCTTAAGACTTTTCTCAAACAGGATTCACCACCTTTTTGGCATCCTGCTTTTTCACAACAGAAGGGGCCAAGGCCATC